TCCTCTGAGTGTGTTAGCTGTGTTGAACACTTCTTCGCATCTCCAGTCCTTGTTTCCTTGAAGAGGAATGTATCTACATAAAAAAAGCCTTCACACGTTTTCAATTTTCATTTGGTCTTCCTATTGTGCTCATGTCCTGTCAGGTTCCTACGATATGCTAAACAAAACATAACTTATTTCTTATCTAAGAAATTGTTGTAGATCAAAATAACTTTAATTCTGACATCCTAAACACCAACAGAACTCCACATCTGTGTTGGATATAGCTGCAGGCCAACTACACTAATTTTGAGGACATATGGGAGGGCAGGTATTTTTCTGCATAATATTCACATCTCTTATTAATCTCAGACACGTATTTCCAGTGTTTGTTTCCTCTTCCCTGAGCATCATGAGTCACACCCATACAAAAGAACTGACACTATAATGCTCCGATGTATTTTTATTTTGTCATCAACTGACAATATTTCTTTCTACAGACTCCTTACCACTCCTACTATTTTATCTATCCAGACATTCACTCATTTTTCAAAGACCGTTCCGCTGACACATTCACATCCAAATATCTTTATACTATCACGAGGTCCTTTCATTTTCATATCAGTTCGATGTCTAGTCTTTCATTTTGTAGATGACTTCATAATCTCATCACCTTGTTCTTTTAATTTTAACTTCTTCGTTTACGCACCATTCAGAATTCCTTTACAAATATCCGCATCTCTTCTACTAAATCTCCTCCAAACCGTAATTTACAAAGAGAAACTACGACAATTCACATATTTGCCTTAGATTCATTACATTTTTAAACCTGTACCTCTCCAACACTTTAACATTCTCTTTTAATAAACACGCTAAGATAACAGGGATATCTTGCTACTCCTACTTACACTTTGGTCACACTTCACAGACACGCACATGCATATATATATATAACATACATCTAGGTTTTTCTCCTTTTTCTAAATAGCTCTTGTTCTTTTTTATTTCTTCTATTGTCCATGGGGAAGTGGAAAAGAATCTTTCCTCCGTAAGCCATGCGTGTCGTATGAGGCGACTAAAATGCCGGGAGCAATGGGCTAGTAACCCCTTCTCCTGTATACAATTACTAAAAAAGAGAAGAAGAAAAACTTTATAAAACTGGGTTGCTTAAATGTGCGTGGATGTAGTGCGGATGACAAGAAACAGATGATTGCTGATTTTTATGAATGAAAAGAAGTTGGATGTCCTGGCCCTAAGCGAAACAAAGCTGAAGGGGGTAGGAGAGTTTCAGTGGGGGAAATAAATGGGATTAAATCTGGAGTATCTGAGAGAGTTAGAGCAAAGGAAGGGTAGCAGTAATGTTAAATGATCAGTTATGGAAGGAGAAAAGAGAATATAATGTGTAAATTCAAGAATTATGTGGATTAAAGAAAGGGTTTGGGAAATGCGAGAAGTGGGTCATAATAAGTGTGTATGCACCTGGAGAAGAGAGGAATGCAGAGGAGAGAGAGAGATTTTGGGAGATGTTAAGTGAATGTATAGGAGCCTTTGAACCAAGTGAGAGAGTAATTGTGGTAGGGGACTTGAATGCTAAAGTAGGAGAAACTTTTAGAGAGGGTGTGGTAGGTAAGTTTGGGGTGCCAGGTGTAAATGATAATGGGAGCCCTTTGATTGAACTTTGTATAGAAAGGGGTTTAGTTATAGGTAATACATATTTTAAGAAAAAGAGGATAAAAAGTATACACGATATGATTGTAGGGCGAAATGACAGTAGTTTGTTGGATTATGTATTGGGAGATAAAAGACTGTTGAGTAGACTTCAGATGTACATGTTTATAGAGGGGCCACAGATATATCAGATCACTTTCTAGTTGTAGCTACACTGAGAGTAAAGGTAGATGGGATACAAGGAGAATAGAAGCATCAGGGAAGAGAGAGGTGAAGGTTTATAAACTAAAAGAGGAGGCAGTTAGGGTAAGATATAAACAGCTATTGGAGGATAGATGGGCTAATGAGAGCATAGGCAATGGGGTCGAAGAGGTATGGGGTAGGTTTAAAAATGTAGTGTTAGAGTGTTCAGCAGAAGTTTGTGGTTACAGGAAAGTGGGTGCAGGAGGGAAGAGAGCGATTGGTGGAATGATGATGTAAAGAGAGTAGTAAGGGAGAAAAAGTTAGCATATGAGAAGTTTTTACAAAGTAGAAGTGAGGCAAGGAGGGAAGAGTATATGGAGAAAAAGAGAGAAGTTAAGAGAGTGGTGAAGCAATGTAAAAAGAGAGCAAATGAGAGAGTGGGTGAGATGTTATCAACAAATTTTGTTGAAAATAAGAAAAAGTTTTGGAGTGAGATTAACAAGTTAAGAAAGCCTAGAGAACAAATGGATTTGTCAGTTAAAAATAGGAGAGGAGAGTTATTAAATGGAGAGTTAGAGGTATTGGGAAGATGGAAGGAATATTTTGAGGAATTGTTAAATGTTGATGAAGATAGGGAAGCTGTGATTTCGTGTATAGGGCAAGGAGGAATAACATCTTGTAGGAGTGAGGAAGAGCCAGTTGTGAGTGTGGGGGAAGTTCGTGAGGCAGTAGGTAAAATGAAAGGGGGTAAGGCAGCCGGGATTGATGGGATAAAGATAGAAATGTTAAAAGCAGGTGGGGATATAGTTTTGGAGTGGTTGGTGCAATTATTTAATAAATGTATGGAAGAGGGTAAGGTACCTAGGGATTGGCAGAGAGCATGCATAGTTCCTTTGTATAAAGGCAAAGGGGATAAAAGAGAGTGCAAAAATTATAGGGGGATAAGTCTGTTGAGTGTACCTGGTAAAGTGTATGGTAGAGTTATAATTGAAAGAATTAAGAGTAAGACGGAGAATAGGATAGCAGATGAACAAGGAGGCTTTAAGGAAAGGTAGGGGGTGTGTGGACCAGGTGTTTACAGTGAAACATATAAGTGAACAGTATTTAGATAAGGCTAAAGAGGTCTTTGTGGCATTTATGGATTTGGAAAAGGCGTATGACAGGGTGGATAGGGGGCAATGTGGCAGATGTTGCAAGTGTATGGTGTAGGAGGTAGGTTACTGAAAGCAGTGAAGAGTTTTTACGAGGATAGTGAGGCTCAAGTTAGAGTATGTAGAAAGAGGGAAATTTTTTCCCAGTAAAAGTAGGCCTTAGACAAGGATGTGTGATGTCACCGTGGTTGTTTAATATATTTATAGATGGGGTTGTAAGAGAAGTAAATGCGAGGTCTTGGCAAGAGGCGTGGAGTTAAAAGATAAAGAATCACACACAAAGTGGGAGTTGTCACAGCTGCTCTTTGCTGATGACACTGTGCTCTTGGGAGATTCTGAAGAGAAGTTGCAGAGATTGGTGGATGAATTTGGTAGGGTGTGCAAAAGAAGAAAATTAAAGGTGAATACAGGAAAGAGTAAGGTTATGAGGATAACAAAAAGATTAGGTGATGAAAGATTGAATATCAGATTGGAGGGAGAGAGTATGGAGGAGGTGAACGTATTCAGATATTTGGGAGTGGACGTGTCAGCGGATGGGTCTATGAAAGATGAGGTGAATCATAGAATTGATGGGGGAAAAAGAGTGAGTGGTGCACTTAGGAGTCTGTGGAGACAAAGAACTTTGTCCTTGGAGGCAAAGAGGGAATGTATGAGAGTATAGTTTTACCAACGCTCTTATATGGGTGTGAAGCGTGGGTGATGAATGTTGCAGCGAGGAGAAGGCTGGAGGCAGTGGTGATGTCATGTCTGAGGGCAATGTGTGGTGTGAATATAATGCAGAGAATTCGTAGTTTGGAAGTTAGGAGGAGGTGCGGGATTACCAAAACTGTTGTCCAGAGGGCTGAGGAAGGGTTGTTGAGGTGGTTCGGACATGTAGAGAGAATGGAGCGAAACAGAATGACTTCAAGAGTGTATCAGTCTGTAGTGGAAGGAAGGCGGGTAGGGGTCGGCCTAGGAAGGGTTGGAGGGAGGGGGTAAAGGAGGTTTTGTGTGCGAGGGGCTTGGACTTCCAGCAGGCATGCGTGAGCGTGTTTGATAGGAGTGAATGGAGACAAATGGTTTTTAATACTTGACGTGCTGTTGGAGTGTGAGCAAAGTAACATTTATGAAGGGATTCAGGGAAACCGGCAGGCCGGACTTGAGTCCTGGAGATGGGAAGTACAGTGCCTGCACTCTGAAGGAGGGGTGTTAATGTTGCAGTTTAAAAACTGTAGTGTAAAGCACCCTTCTGGCAAGACAGTGATGGAGTGAATGATGGTGAAAGTTTTTCTTTTTCGGGCCACCCTGCCTTGGTGGGAATCGGCCGGTGTGATAATAAAATAAAAATAAATATATATAAAGACATCAAAATATAAATGATGACATCACATTACTGTAATTGGCTCACTTTTTTTTCTGCGGGAGATATTTCCCATCTGTCCTTCATGGTAGGTCCTGAGGGCCGCTTCCCTCAACAGCACTTCCCAACGTTTTCTTATCTCCAATTCCTTACATGTGCAATACCAGCCGCTTCACTGCTTTATTATAGGCCTTTTCCTATTTCATAACTGCAGTAAACAGGTTCTTTTCTGCCTTGTTCAGCTACATATTTCCACACAAATATTATCGACACTTTATTCTTCGTTAATCCTACTTGCTGTCCTTACCATCAGTCCTTGTTAATATACAAAACTCTCTATAAGTACAAATTCAGGTTTCAAGTCCATTTTTTTCCTTTTGCTTCATTAAAAAAATTTATGTGCACTTGGATGTTAGTTATAGAATAAACTTATTATTATTTTTAGTGCAGATGGTTTAACTGTAATTTCATTGCCATCTTAAAAATCATATATGTGTAGAGGTTAGGTTAGGTAAGGTTCGTCAGGAAACAGGACAAGTGCTTCCTGACGCGGGTCTTAGAGCTTTTCGTTATCTGACCGAGGCCTTCCGCTGGCTTACCGGTCCACCCCTTTAAAAATTATGGTTGCAGTTATAACCATTTTATAAGTGTAGAAAGAATGTATACGAGGCTTGGCAACTTTCTTTCGTCTACCTTCCGAAGCATTATATCATTGAATAACTATTAGTGTGACGCTTCTCATCTGGCGCCATGAAAATGATTCTTAACATTTTAGCTTCTACAGTTAACAATTTACATGCTGGCATGTAGAGATAGAAAAACTCCGAAGATCAGTGATACTGCTTTATATAAAACATATGCCACTCTTACAATAAACCGTCCAAAATAACACTAGACATAGCAGCATAAACTTGCGGAGTCTTGTGTTGCTGGTCTCCTCAACACATCACCAGCAAATGTAAACATATAGGTGAGTCATAACATTAAACGTGCTTGAGAAAGTTTACAATATATACAGTGTATACTGGACTGGATAATTATCTTGAAATGTCACCTATTCCAGATATGCGGAGATTTATGTAGCTGTTGAAAGGCTGTCTAAAATCTAAGCAAAAAGAAATTGTCTAAATATAACATTTCACACATGCCTAATACTAAAAGGGAGGTATTAATCACACCTACAGATGCTGATTAATATTTTCATAATTTTCAGTTCACTATCAGAGATGAATATGTTTCTAACTCCTAAGTGAGTGGTAGGTAGGCAGCCTCGTCCCCTCTACTTCATATCAACACACACTCAAGGTAAACTCACTACTCTCATATCAACACACACTCAAGGTAAACTCACTACTCTCATATCAACACACACTCAAGGTAAACTCACTACTCTCATATCAACACACACTTACCCAAGGTAAACTCACTACTCTCATATATTATAAACAACATAAATATAGAAAACAATATGTAATTATGTATACTATGTACATATATCAAACAATCTATCACACATCGGTTCTTACTATAATACACAAAGACACTTCGGTATCACATTGTTCCCAACTGAAGTACACTATAAATATACATAGCCCTAATAATTAACAGTAAACTATGTCTCATTACAAAAGAAAATATATGGAGCTTCCGAGTTTATCTACTCTAGTTTTATGTAATTAAATCCAAAACATTCAAAGCAAAAGCAATGATAATAATTAATCATATGTTATAAATGGTTTGCAACAGCGACAAGTTGATAAGTAACACAAACGTACAATAATTAGATATCTCATTGTGGAAACGTTTCACCTGCGCAGCAGACTTCTTCAGCAGAATACAGACAATAATAATATTGGAGACGGTAGATGTCGAGAGGTAATTTTAAAGTGATCTGTCTTTAACTGAAAAAAGATGGTCAGTCTCTCAGGTTAGAGGACTTACTACCTACTCATGTTAAGGAACATCATCACATATTTACCCCTACACTTCAGTAGTACAGTTTCATGTATCCTACTGAAGGAGCCTGGTGCGCAGGCTTCTTCGTCAATATATACAGTTCTCCTAAGATAATTATCTTTTATCGTAAATGAAATGCTTATGAGAGGTTACCAATGTTTTACTTGTGCTCTCAAATAAACCCTTACATAATTCCTTTATTTCTTCTGAACATTTCCCTTGAATAACATTTTATACGGCAGAATAAATAGGTATACCCTGACACATTTTTAATTTCGTCAAGTTTTCCATATCTGAGTAGTTGAAATTTCTCCTCGTTGAACTTTATATCGTTTTGAGAGGCCCATTTTTAGCATGAATGATAAGCTGAAAAAACTAGGTATTACCTTTTATAGGCATTAATGATAAGCTGAAAGTTCCATAACGTGGATTCCTAAGTACAGATATCCAGCGTAACATATAATCCGCAGCTGTTACATTATTAATTATAAAGTTGTGTAATGCGAAAATAATGTGAATAATTTATACTAAAATCATAAAATCATCAACAGTCATATTTTTGAAGAACAATACTTGTTAGAACAATTATAAATTAAGATTTACCAATGTTAATTACAGCTCTTTGTTAACACCATTTACCTGTTCTACACGATGCTTGTTAATTACAGCTCCTTGTGAACACCATGTACCTGTTCTACACGATGCTTGTTAATTACAGCTCCTTGTTAACACCATTTACCTGTTCTACACGATGCTTGTTAATTACAGCTCCTTGTGAACACCATGTACCTGTTCTACACGATGCTTGTTAATTACAGCTCCTTGTTAACACCATTACCTGTTCTACACGATGCTTGTTAATTACAGCTCCTTGTTAACACCATGTACCTGTTCTACACGATGCTTGTTAATTACAGCTCCTTGTTAACACCATGTACCTGTTCTACACGATGCTTGTTAATTACAGCTCCTTGTTAACACCATTTACCTGTTCTACACGATGCTTGTTAATTACAGCTCCTTGTTAACACCATTTACCTGTTCTACACGATGCTTGTTAATTACAGCTCCTTGTTAACACCATTTACCTGTTCTACACGATGCTTGTTAATTACAGCTCCTTGTGAACACCATGTACCTGTTCTACACGATGCTTGTTAATTACAACTCCTTGTTAACACCATGTACCTGTTTTACACGATGCTTGTTAATTACAGCTCCTTGTTAACACCATGTACCTGTTCTACACGATGCTTGTTAATTACAGGTCCTTGTTAACACCATTTACCTGTTCTACACGATGCTTGAAAACTAAATTTAATAATACGTATTAACAAACTCATATTTCTGTCATAAGTGCTAACAGAATAGCTTGGATATTTTCATATTTTTAATCTCAAAATACATCAAAATACTTGCTAAAAGGTATCAAGGTAATCAACACAAAACTCAATATTAATTACCTTAAATCAGTATTAAAAAATTTATATAAAGATACAGACATTCATAAATATTCATAAATATCTGTCAGCAGATGTATGACTCAACACCTTAAACCTGTCCCGAAAATCTAACATTAAGTTTTGGGTGATAACGCATACTATGGTTGGTAATGCATAGTATGGTTGATAACGCATGCTATGGTTGACAACGCATGCTATGGTTGATAACGCATGCTATGGTTGACAACGCATACTATGGTTGACAACGCATACTATGGTTGGTAATGCATACTATGGTTGATAACGCATGCTATGGTTGATAACACATACTATGGTTGATACGATGCTATGTTGACAACGCATATATGTTGACAACGATACTAGGGTTGGTAAGCTCTATGGTTGATACGCATGCATGGTTGATAACGCATACTAGGTTGATAACGCATACTATGGTTGAAAAACGCATACTATGGTTGATAACGCTCTAGGGTTGATAACCATACTAGGGTTTGATAAGCATATAGGTTGATAACGCATACTAGGTTGTAAGCATCTTTGTTGATCGCATCTAGGTTAAAAACCATACTAGGTTGTAACGCATACTATGGTTGAAACGCATACTATGGTTGAAACGATACTATGGTTGTAAGCATACAGGGTTGAAAACCATCTATGGTTGAAAACAATCCCTATGGTTGATAAGATCTATGGTTGTAACGCTACTATGGTTGAAACGCATACTAGGGTTGAAAAAACGCTCTATGGTTGAAAGCATACAGGTTTGTAACGCATTTTGGGTTGAAACGCATCTAGGTTGTAACGCTACATGGTTGAAACGCATCTAGGGTTGATAACGCATACTATGTTGAAAACGCACATGGTTGATAACCCCAATTGGGATAAGCATACTATGGTTGATAGGCATGCATGGTTGATAACCATACTTGGTTGATAACGATACTTGGTTGATAAGCATACAGGTTGATAAGCATCATGGTTGTTAACCATACTATGGTTATAAACATACTAGGGTTGATAACGCATACTTGGTTTGATAACGATACTTTTGGTTGATAACGCATTATGGTTGATAACGCATCTAGGGTTGAAAACGCAAATTATGGAAAAACCATACATGGTTGATAACGAACTAGGGTTGATAACGCATACTAGGGTTTTGATAACCAAATACTAGGTTGATAAAATACTATGGTTATAACGCAATAGGTTGAAAAACGCAATATGGTTGAAAACGCTCTAGGGTTTTATACCATCTATGGTTGATAACGCATACAGGGTTGTAACGCATACTATGGTTGATAACGATACTATGGTTGATAACCATACTATGGTTAAAACGCATCTAGGGTTGAAAACCATACTAGGTTGATAACGTTTACTAGGGTTTGATAAGCATGCTATGGTTATAACGCATACTAGGTTGATAAGCATACTAGGGTTGTAGCATACTATGGTTTGATAAACGCATAATATGGTTGATAACGCATACTATGGTTGATGACGCATACTATGGTTGATAACGCATACTATGGTTGATAACGCATACTATGGTTGATAACGCATACTATGGTTGATAACGCATACTATGGTTGAATAACGCATAGTATGGTTGATAACCCCAATACTATGGTTGAAACGCATACTATGGTTGATAAAAAACATACTATGGTTGATAACACATACTATTTTGATAACGCATACTATGGTTGATAACGCATACTATGGTTGATAACACATACTATGGTTGATAACGAATAGTATGATAATGCATAATATGGTTGATAACGCATAATATGGTTCATAACGCATATTATGGTTGATACGCCATACATGGGTGATTAAATGGCATACTATGGTTTTGTTTAAAAAGCACACTATGGTTGAAAAACGCATACTATGGTGAAAACCCGCATACAATGGTTGAAAAACGAATAGTATGATAATGCATAATATGGTTGATAACGCATAATATGGTTCATAACGCATATTATGGTTGATAACGCATACTATGGGTGATAATGCATACTATGGTTGATAAAGCACACTTTTGGTTGATAACGCATACTATGGTTGATAAGGGCATACTAGGGTTTTGATAACGCATACTATGGGTGATAAGCAAAACTATGGTTGATAAAGCTTTACTATAGTTGGTAATTTACATACTGTGTGTTGATAACGCATACTATGGTTTGAAAATGCATACTATGGTTGATAATGCATAGTATGGTTGATAATGCATACTATGGTTGATAACCCCATACTAGGGTTTTATAATGCATATTATGGTTTGATAATGCATACTATGGTTGATAATGCATAGTATGGTTGATAATGCATACTAGGGTTTTTGATAATGCATAGTATGGGTTGATAATGCAATACTATGGTTGATAACGCATACTATGGTTGATAATGCATACTATGGTTGATAATGCATACTATGGTTGATAATGCATAGTATGGTTGATAATGCATACTATGGTTGATAATGCATAGTATGGTTGATAATGCATACTATGGTTGATAACGCATACTATGGTTGATAACGCATACTATGGTTGATAACGCATACTATGGTTGATAACGCATACTATGGTTGATAACGCATACTATGGTTGATAACGCATACTATGGTTGATAATGCATAGTATGGTTGATAACGCATACTATGGTTGATAACGCATACTGTGGTTGATAACGTTTACTATGGTTGATAATGCATACAATGCTTTTTTTACCAACACCTGTTTTTTCTAACGCTATTTAATTATTAATATTTTAATAATTAATCAATTTTGTCTAACATCATTTAATTATTAACATGAGTCAGGGCTTTACTGGTCGAGTTTTGTTTACGTATCCTAATCTTTGTAAGCAAGCCTAGGATTTTTTTTTAATTACAGGGGAAACCCTTTAAAATAGTAAATTTTGTGTGAAAGTTCATTGCATGTATTTTAATGAGTATATATAAATAATATAATTATTCATTATGATCAAGAATGTCTCGATCTTATACTAATACCTGCTAGTTAAGTTGATATATTATATATTTTATATTTATTTTTGTTGTGGATGAGACGCTTATTGTGTTTATATATATATTATACTCGCACAAGGTGAAGAGTAAAAATATTTGTGACTGTGAAATTCAACCTCCATAAAGAATGCATTCTAAACATCGTGTCATGATTTCAACCAGTGAATAATAACCAGGAAATATTAATGGATAACAGAAGAAGGTTCATATGTATAAGATCATTAAGGAGTGACTTACAGCACTTGTACAAGTTAACTCAGCATACAGTGCTTCTTGTGTATGTCCTCTGGTTAATGACTGAGCATATATTCATTAAAAAAAAAACTCTCCCTAAATACTTTTACTTGTCAACTATATTTGAATCAATATATCAAAAGGCAACATTTCTTATTAGCCAAAGATATATTTTTCAGTTACATTGTCCTACTTAGCCTCTGAAATTTGTAATACTTTATGTCGGGTTGAAAGATAGAGATAAATTAACAGCTGATCACGCAGCCGATACTTCGATATTCATTAAATATCTTCCTATTTATATTTTATTACCATCGCTTATATACATATTGAGTTATATTTTGAAATTCATTCTGTCGCCTCTTTCCTAAACAAGGCTTCCTTAAGTCCGATGATAGCTAGAAGGATCTTCTTGCGGTGTCCCAGCATGTAGACTCCCATCAGCTGCAGGTCTCTCTTGGTCAGCCCCAGCGCTGCCAGAGGACAATATATACCATTTTGATGGAAATTCTCGATGTAGTCCGGCAATCCCAAGGACTCCAGCCACTCCTGCACTGTCTCTGGCACATCCTCGGGGACTGGCGGGGGCCTCCGCACCTGCAGGTAGTAGACAAGGTTTTAGTAACAGAAAAAAATCAATATCGTACAACTATCGTGCAAACTGAAAATGAAAACTAAAACTATTAAGTAATTGAATCTGTCCAAGACAGACTGAAGCATTGTTCACTTATAATTTGAAATTTGTGAATTCGATGTAAAACAGAGTTTATATTTAAGATGTTCTAGTAATGACAAGAAAATTACTGCATGTCATTGTGATGGTTAAGTTATTTAGGTGAACCTAATAAATTTGTTGACGGATTAAATAGGAGCAATGAATATTGTCTGAAAGTTATCAAGATGAATAATCTAATGATAACAAGTGGGTGGGTTAGCCAGGTAAAGGAATGTTTTCTTGAAATTTTGCTAAGTTGATTTAGAACTGACATAGAGTACGTTTGAACTGAAGGTTTAGCGCAAGCCTATGCAAGGTAGGCCCTATGCACACCCACTCATTTTCAAATATATATATTTCTAATAAACATTTATTGCTTTTATATTAAAAAATAGATATCTACCCACATCCGCATAGAGTAATGTATCTTTAAATTATTGCATTTACAATAATGCTTTAAATTTGTGTCCGTCGATAAGACCTGCTCTAATACATTGTTTGCCATCACCGACAACGTATATTCGGCACCATATTTAGATTCACTGTTATTATACAAATATTCTCTTTGTACGTTTCAAATATATATTCCCCTAATTCTGTGTCATTTCAGAGAGTTAATTCAGTGCTTCTAATCAAATAATTGACTACTAGTATTAAGATATTTAAGCCGAGAAAATCATGGCTGCAAATCAATGATTATATTATTACCATTAATATATACATGTGAAAGAGAACATCCACAGGAGTAATAAAGAGCCAGGGCAATAACAGGCAATCAGATTCGATCCGAGAAGAGAGTGTAGCTTCATTTCATTGGATCAAGAGTCCTTCACTAGCATCAAGGTACCTCCATGGAAGGGATCTTTGACCATAGACATTCAACCATAAAATAATTCACGTCTCTGGATGTAGGAGAAGCTTATATGGTACAGTGAGTGAACATCTTAGTGTTGCTTGACATTTACGAGGACCCAGTAAAAAATTGCATGTTGGTTGACATTTGAGAGACTCTTAAAAAGTATTGCATGTTAGCGTCACGGCAGAATGCGGACAATATAAATATCTACAGTATGTAGATTAAGTTAGTTCCCCTTCTACGGGCTGTTGCTTACGATAAACATAACTCATTCATAAACATATTCTGAAACTAATTTGGTGCTGTAGATTTTATACGGTTAATACTAATCAAGGTTTACTTAATATTTCATGTAAGACATAATGAGATGCAGAATCCAGTACAGCTTATAACAGTTGCGTTTATGTGTGAAAGTGAGCAGTTATTTATATAGCTGTGTGTGAAAGTGAACAGTTATTTATATAGTTATGGGTGAGAGTGAACAGTTAATTTTTGGTTTCGTTTATTATTACATGATTATGAATGTATTTATGGGGAAACGATAAATGAACCCGCAGGGATTATTCTTGGTCTAAGGTATAGGAGACATTCTGGTTCGTTCCAAGGAAACGGAAGACAAGTCCAAGTTCTTCGATTAAGAGTTCTTCACTTACATCAGAGGACTTCCCTTGAATGGCATTATAACAATAAAATGTTAAAATAACAGCAACGATGAGTAAAGTTTCTTTCATGTGAGGCGACAAACGTGACGATAATCCCAACTCAGTGTTTGGAAATTTGATGAAATCTATTGTTTTAGATTGTGGCTGCAACAATTTTTGTGGAACTGATATTTTCAGTGATCAGCACCACTAATATTGCATCACATAACAGACAACTCAAAACCCGTGGCAGTAAAAATGAAAATAGTATTGAAATTTGATGCTGAAGTTTATCAGAACGTCAGTACGGAATAACTTATTTACTGTAATTAAGAAAATACTGTAATGCATTAACGTAGGGGAGTAAATAAACTACTTTGGGGTCACAGGAGCGAAAGCAAATACTTTGATAGTCTAAAGTTACAAATGGTAAGTATATATACACTAAGAAGTATGCATCTCTGCGTATATACACTAAGTTTTGAATAATTTTCTTAGAGCTTCAAGAATCGTGTATGTTACAGGTGCAAGTAGATTACGGTATTCATGATATTCTTATAATCTTAACTAACTGCTGGCGATATTCTACTAAATAGATTGTTATCTTATGTCTTCTGTGACCTCTTTTGATCTTCTAACCGACAATGGCTGACATAGAGTTATTTTCTCCAGTTGATATTCTTCCATTCTTTTCCAGCAATTATTAATGTTTCAGTGGATATCATTAAAAAATAATCTCCAAAATCTTCTCTTCCACCAGTTTTAAGTTTACATATTTCTAGAGTTTTCCAGAGCGCCAGTAATATATTTATTGAAGATTATTAAGCGAATATTAAGATTCCTAAAATCACAGAAATACATTCTCTGCTGGTAAGGTTAATTCAACCTTTCCTGAGGAGGGTGCGAGATTTTTGCATTACACACACACGCACACACGCACACACACACACACACACACACACACACACACACACACACACACACACACACACACACACACACACACACACACACACACACACGCACGCACGCACACACACACACACGCACACACACACACACACACACACACACACACACACACACACACACACACACACACACACACACACACACACACACACACGCACGCACGCACCACACACACACACACACACACACACACACATGAGCACACACACACATACACACACACACATGCGCACACACACACCTGACAGGGAGGCAACAACGAGTCATGGTACGTAATGATGTATCACAGTGGGCACCTGTGACGAGCGGGGTCCCACAGGGGTCGGTCCTAGGACCAGTGCTATTTTTGGTATATGTGAACGACATGATGGAAGGGTTAGACTCAGAAATGTCCCTGTTTGCAGATGATGTGAAGTTAATGAGGAGAATTAAATCAGATGAGGACCAGGCAGGACTTCAAAGAGACCTGGACAGACTGGACACCTGGTCCAGCAAATGGCTTCTCGAATTTAATCCTGCCAAATGCAAAGTCATGAAGATAGGGGAAGGGCACAGAAGACCGCAGACAGAGTATAGGCTAGGTGGCCAAAGACTGCAAACCTCACTCAAGGAGAAAGATCTTGGGGTGAGTATAACACCTAGCATGTCTCCGGAAGCACACATCAATCAGATAACTGCTGCAGCATATGGGCGCCTGGCAAACCTGAGAACAGCATTCCGATACCTTAGTAAGGAATCGTTCAAGACACTGTACACCGTGTATGTCAGGCCCATACTGTAGTATGCAGCACCTGTTTGGAACCCGCACTTGATAAAGCACGTCAAGAAACTAGGGAGAGTACAAAGGTTTGCGACAAGGTTAGTTCCAGAGCTAAGGGGAATGTCCTATGAAGAAAGATTAAGGGAAATCGGCCTGACGACACTGGAGGACAGGAGGGTCAGGGGAGACATGATAACGACATATAAAATACTGCGTGGAATAGACAAGGTGGACAAAGACAGGATGTTCCAGGGAGGGGACACAGAAACAAGAGGTCACAATTGGAAGTTGAAGACACAAATAAGTCAGAGAGATATTAGGAAGTATTTCTTCAGTCATAGAGTTGTCAGCAGTGGAATAGCCTAGAAAATGACGTAGTGGAGTCAGGAGCCATACACAGTTTTAAGACGAGTGTTGATAAAGCTCAATGAGCGGGGTAGAGAGAGGGCACAGTAGCAACCGGTGAAGAGGCGGGTGCCAGGAGCTAAGACTCGACCCTGCTGCAACCACTAAAGGTAGACAAATAGGTGAGTACACACAAAACAGCACCAGCACACAACACACACATGCAACACACACACATACACACACACACATGCCACAACACACACACACACACACACACACACACACACACACACGCACACACATGCCGCACACACCCACACACACACACACACAACACACGCACACACACACACAACACTCACACGCAACACACATACACACAACGCACGCACCCTACACACACACACACACAACGCACATGCACAGCAATCACACACACACTCACACACATACACACACACACACAGAAAGCGGGTCCGTGGGTGAAGACGTGCGTAACAAGGCTCCGAATCCTTAGCGTTGTTGGCGTGCAATAAAGTTAGAAGTTAATCAGTGGTATAGGAACGTCCGAGTGAACAATACTAAGAGTGATAATTAAAGTTATAGTTAAAGAATGTGAAGAAAGCTGAAAATCATAATATTTCAAAGCGCAACCGTTGGGGGTTCTTAGGCGCTGTTGCCGATAAACATTGGTAGCGTAGGCCTGAAGAAGTGACGTCACGACAAGTTGTGTGCCATTTACATATAATTAAGTGTATATAATGTGAAGTGTATACTATCATCAGTGAAGATGAAATCGCGTGAGGAAAGCGGGGATTAAGGAGAATTTATATAGTATAAATCATCAACGGATGAAGGATCCCAAACTAGGGATTTAAGGCCTACACGACGACATGGTCATCACAAGTCTGGCAACTGTCACTGCAAGTTTATTTCGCCTATTTGTGGTTTGCAATTTGAACGGGCCCTGCTGGACTTGCATACTGTTTTTGATACTGTCACTCACTCCTAGCAAGTTATTACCCAGAATTAGAATAGAAATAGCATAGATCAGAGAATATAGTGTTGACGGAGTGTGAGAAGGTAGGTGGGAAAGCTTTAAGGGTAAACATTGTAAGACGGTGCTAGGGTCGGTCCCCCGAGGGGTGTGGTGTCAGGTCACGAAGAAGTTCGGCGCAGTCATAACTATCCGCACAAGACTCTCTCTCCTCACACACACACTACACACACACACACACACACACACACACACACACAGGCCGTGTTACTACGGTAGTTATTAAGCAGTAAGAATACTTAGGAAGCTAGAAGTCCTCTCTCAATTTGAACAATGAAAATGATAATAACCAGCAACAATTAATACGTAAATCCAGAACGGGCAATAAGTGGAGGAGTAGCATAATTGGGAAAGATAAATGAGAACAAAATTTGTGGCCTACATCGACGGATCTATCAACCACACAAAACCTAACCCCCCCTAAACCCTCCCCCCCTCACACACAAGCACACACACACACAAGGGTAGAAACACACATCGCACGCAACCACAATTAGGTAGTACACACACACACACACACACACACCACACACACATTCACAACAGGTCACACACATACATACATACACACACTAAACACACACAAACATAATAAACACAGACACACACAAACACAATACACAACACACAACACACACACACATACACATACACACACACACACCACATCACACACACCCACACACACCACACACACAGCACACACAAAACATCCACACACACACACACACCGCACAACACACCCACACGCACACACCCACACACCACACACACACACCACACACACACACACACACCACACACACACCACACACCACAAACACAAACACACACACACACACGACAGCCACTCACACACTCCGACACACACACACCACACACACACACCACACACACACACACAACACACACACCACACACAGCACACGAACACAAAACACGCACAAAACACACACACACACTCACACCCGACAACCCTCCACCACTTGACACAAACACTTGACACAAACACTACTCCCCCCCTCCCTAACCACCCTCCCTTTCCCCCAACCCTACCACCTCACCTTAGCCACCTACCCCCTCGCCCAAACCACCTAACCCCTCCCCAAACACGTCAACCCCCCCAACTACATCCCTCCCTCCAATAACCATCCTCCCCCTCCCCCATAAAACCATAGCCATCCCCTCACTCCCTCAAACCATCTAAACCCCTCCCCCAACTATCTCTACCCCTCCAATAACCATCCTCCCCACCCCCACAACATCCATCCCCCTCCCTAACCATCTATTCCCCACCCCCTTAACGCGGATAGAGGACAAAGGGGCTCCAAGGACGAATCAGGGAGGGAGAATGGGATGTAGAGCTCAAAAAAAGGGATGAAGACTGGTGAAGGAGACTAGATGAGCTGGAAAGGAAGATGGAAAGAGGATTAGCAGCAGAATGCAGGAAGGAGAGGAACAACAGGCACACCAGCAGAAAACAAGATAGAGAGATTAGAAGAGGAGCTGAAAAGAAAAACATCTTAAACAGCACAGAGACAACGATATCGACAGAAGTAGCATCGGCAATGGCTACATCATACACAGACAACATCTGAAGGAAGCATGAAACTAAACTGTAAGCAAGGTCCTGTAAACCACATGGGGCCAAAACAAAACAGGGAGCACACAGACAGAATGAGAGGTTGGAAGACATAGAAGGAACTAGGTCATGTGCAAGACCTTACCAGAACCTGTGAGGGCCAGGAGCAGGTGAGGGCAGAAGGATAAACCAAGAAGCTAAGGCGAAGAACTAGGTAAGGGACTGAAGGAATGAATCACTCACGGGAAGAACTAAACACATCAGAGGATGCAATGGAGTCCACAGTGGGAGTGGAAAAGGGAAAGATTCCTGTTTGTCTATGGGCTAGACGAAGCTAAAGGGGAAACTTATGATGAAAGAAAGCAGGAGGAGAAAAAAGGTGATAGGTGATAGGTGAGGGGGACATGACCCAGGTGACAAATTTTCGGAGAATTGGGTGGTTCACAAAGAAAAGAATCGGCCTCTCAAAGTAATTTTCAAGGCAGAATCAACCCGAGCCATGATCCTGCAGGAGAAAGCACGGTTGAGAGGCAAGCAGGAGTTCCGGAGTGTGTACCTCGATCGAGACAGAACACAGGACGAAAGGAAGACAATGAAAGAGAGAGTTTAAAAACGGAAGGAGAAATGGGGAGAAATGTAAAAAGATAGCAGATATTCCAGGATCAAATGGAAGGACAATGCACCCCCGCCACCCCAGGAAACACCTGCAGAAGACTCCAGCCACGACACCCCCAAGGCAACTGAACAATCCGAAACAACCATCACACAACCGTCCTCTGTTTCCACTACCCCCCGCCCACAGTTAACAGTATTAGAACAGAAGTTTGAAGTTGGTACACCAAATTGCAGATGGATAAACGAATAAACATGAGAATGGCAAGAAAGAATCAATGAGAAGTCCCCAGACATCATAGCAGTTACAGAAACAAAACTCATGGAGACAATAACAGATGCAATCTTCCCACCAGGATACCAGATCATGAGAAAAGATAGAAGGGGCAGGGGGGGAGGTGGAGTTGCTCTGCTCGTAAAAACAGATGGAAATTCGAGAAAATGGAAGGAATAGATGAGACGGGAGAAAGAGACTACATAGCAGGTACACTTCAGTCTGGGGAACACAAAGTGGTCATTGCAGTGATGTATAATCCACCACAGAACTGCAGGAGGCCAAGAGAGGAATATGAAGAGAGCAACAGAGCAATGGTGGACACACTTGCTGAGGTGGCAAGAAGAGCTCACTCCAGCAGAGTAAAGTTGCTGGTTATGGGGGATTTCAACCACAGGGAGATTGACTGGGAAAACCTGGAGCCACATGGGGGTCCCGAAACATGGAGAGCCAGGATGTTGGACGTGGTGCTGGAAAACCTCATGCACCAACATGTTAAGGACACTACCAGAGTGAGAGGGGAGGATGAACCAGCAAGATTGGACCTTGTGTTCACCCTGGGCAGCTCAGATATTGAGGACATCAAGTATGAGAGTCCCCTAGGAGCTAGCGACCACGTGGTTCTGTGCTTTGAATACATAGTAGAGCTGCAAGTACCTGGAGACCTGGAGAGAATAACAGGAGTTGAATGGGAAAAGCCTGACTATAAAATAGGGGACTACATAGGGTTGAAGAACTTCCTGCGGGAGGTCCAGTGGGACAGAGAACTGGCAGGAAAGCCAGAAAATGAAATGATGGAATATGTAACAACAAAATGCAAGGAGGCAGTGGAAAGGTTTATTCCCAAGGGCAACAGTAACAACGGGAAGACCAGAACGAGCCCCTGGTTTACCCGACGTTGTAAGGAGGCAAAAACAAAATGCAATAGAGAATGGAAAAAGTACAGAAGGCAGAGAACACACGAAAATAGGGAGATCAGTCGCAGAGCCAGGAATGAGTACGCACAGGTAAGGAGGGAGGCCCAGCGACAGTATGAAAATGACATAGCATCGAGAATCAAGACTGACCCGAAACTGTTGTATAGCCACATCAGGAGGAAGACAACAGTCAAAGACCAGGTGATCAGATTAAGGACAGAAGGTGGAGAACTCACAAGAAATGATCAGGAGGTATGTGAGGAGCTGAACAGGAGATTTAAGGAAGTTTTTACAGTAGAGACAGGAAGGGCTGTGGGAAGACAGCACAGAAGGGAACATCAAGAGGGAATATACCAACAAGTGTTGGATGACATACGAACAACTGAGGAGGAGGTGAAGAAGCTCTTAAGTGACCTTGACACCTCAATGGCAATGGGACCGGACAACATCTCCCCATGGGTCCTTAGAGAAGGAGCAGAGATGCTGTGTGTGCCTCTAACCACAATCTTCAACACATCCCTTGAAACTGGGCAACTACCTGAGAAATGGAAGACAGCTAATGTAGTCCCCATATTTAAGAAAGGAAACAGAAACGAGGCACTAAACTACAGACCTGTGTCTCTGACATGTATTGTGTGCAAAGTCATGGAGAAGATTTTCAGGAGGAGAGTGGTCGAACACCTGGAAAGGAACAAAATTATAAATGAAAACCAGCATGGGTTCATGGAAGGCAAATCTTGTATCACAAACCTCCTGGAGTTTGTGGCAGTGTGTTTCTTACCAAACTCACAGTCTCACTGACCTTCATTATTGTTCCAGCAGTCATAGGTGGTTGTGATGTCCAAGTTTATATTATGAGGTGAAAGGTAGGTGATTTTCTTAGCCAAACACTTTTTAAACTTATAATAAATATTCACTGAGCAAGTTATTGATATGCATGTGAGGCATATTATATTAATTTTGTTTTCCTACTGAATTTTATAAATATTTCTTCCTGCAACAATATTAATGGTCTGATGGAAGCACTTGGCACTGACTACGAACCCAGTCACTGGAGGCTGTTCATAGATTCATCAAAAACGAGTCTGAAAGTTGTTTTGCTACATAACGGCAATAGTAAACCATCAGTTCCTGTGAGCTATGTACCACATATGAAAGAAACTTATGAGAATATAAAGCATATGTTGCAGTGCATGAAATATGATGAACATCAGTGGCAACTCTGTGGTGACTTAAATGTTGTTGTTCTTGTGATGGGCTTGCAGGGCGGATACACCAAGTACTGCTGCTGTGTGAATGGGACAACCGTGCACGAGGTTCCCACTACATCAGGAGAGGCTGACCACCTCGTCAGTCATTGAACCAAATAAAATTTTGCTACCACCACTACACATAAAACTGGGGCTCATGAAAAACTTTATAAAAGCTATGGACAAATCCGGTCAGGGATTTAAGTATTTAATATCAAAATTCTCTTCACTGAGCAACACTAAGATAAGAAAGAGAGTCTTCAATGGTCGTCAGATTCGAGAGCTTCCTAAAGATGGTAACTTTAAAGCATATAATTAATCGTTATACATTTAAAAGTAAATTTTACTAAAGCAAGGGACTCACCAGGTCGAACTCGAACTTGATAGCCATCCTGTGTAGAGGTTCAGTGATGCCTACCCCAGCAAGGTCCAGGGCGTCCATGTGAGCTGCTGTAGGTAGGTCATACCTGCACCACAATGGAAGAATGTCCACATTACTGAGTGATCGTGATTGTTATAGCGCAACATCTCTGTCAAGTGGGATGAAAGAAAGTTAAGAGGTAGAGGATTGAGAAAAGGGGGGGTCGAGAAAGGGAAGGAGATAAGTATGGGAGATAAGAGGGATAGAGAGAGAGAATAATTTTTCATCCATTGGGAAGAGCTGAACTCGTAAGGGTCGTACTGCCTGGATTATAGAGAATTATATGAAGATTCGATCCATTGCAGTGGAATGTATGTCCAATTTCCTCGATCAAGAATCCTTATAATTTATCTAATATTGCACTCAGAATAAGAAGACTGATATACTAAAGAAAAAAATAAGAGAATGAGAGAAAACCAAAAGCACGAGGATGATGGTCCGTCGTTGCACTTTTATCATGGAAAATGTTTAAATGGAGGTTCAGTGGGTTTGTGAGCTGCAGTATACTGTAAGTTATAACTACTTATCAGAGGAAATCAATCAGCAGTTACATACATATGTGACATAATGTGGGACATCTGTTATTGAATATCAACTAACAATCCTCAGTTCAGTGTGAGAATAAAAGACATTTGTGTCTCATTGACATTTTCATTGAGTCCAGTGATTCTTACACAGTGAATAGCTAAATCCATGGTAGTCATTTAACCATAGGTGTTCAGAGGCTCAATTCTCCGTCACCTATGGACAAGACAGATGTGCTATTTAACTGAAAGTGTGTACAGAACTGCTGCTCAAGTGCCAAGTTTAAAAAGTGAGATTTATCATTCATTAAGCTTAAGTGGGTGCCGTAGACAACGAAAATATTGACGCGAGTAATAAACAAGTGTTTTTGAGGTGGAATATATGCACAAAATTGTTTACCAAATGAGGCATTTGATGTCCATTATGTGGACCTACACAGAACCTTGACCTGGTCAGTGGTGCTCAAGCTGGGAAAATGCTTTTAAAGATAAAAAAAAGCCTAAAAGTTTACCTGGAGTTTACCTGGAGAGGGTTTCGGGGATCAACGCCGCCGCGGCCCGGTCTGAGACCAGGCCTTTTTTGTGTGTGTCGGTTACAATAAAGGTGTTGAAGAACTGTGGTCACAGTAATAAAATATAAAAGAATAGCATATTATAGAAGGTGGGAATATGTAGAAATGCTAAGATATTTATTTTTTTTACTGATTTTATTGTTACAATGAAAATTTTACCACCATCATCAAGATTTTATTTTTGGAATCGATAAAATTTCCAAGCCAAAACAAACGTTGAAAATCGAATTATCAGTATCAAAAGATGAAATATTTGTAAATTAAGTTAGGAGACCATGTTTTTATTTTGTTTTGTCCAAGACGGACAGCAGATGAGGTACTAGAAAGTCACACACACCTAGAGAGTAAACTATAATTAAATCAGAGTAAACAGGTTAAATGCAGCCTGGGTTTAACTTGTTTAACGTTTAAACTCCCTTGAATTCTTCATATAAATCTATTCTTTAGATAAGCTAGAATTTTAAAATCTTCAGGCATTAGTTTAGCCAGAGCTTAAAGCCTCTCTATGATAATTCTGTGTTTATAAATCTTAATATTAAATTTTCAGAGTGTGCTTCTAAGATATATATAATACTGCAATCAGAACACGTAAACTGATATATTAAATATGAACCCAGAGTTGAAATGATTACTTGGTCTTAAGGGAATAACATGAATAATCTGAATTTAATTTCATAATTCATTTAAAAAGAGAAGGCGACACTAATGCCAGAAGATTTTAAATTATTAATAGAGCACAGAAGAAATTGGTTTAATAAATTCTGCAGAGTTTAAACATAAGACAACTGGACCCTTGATTTAATAACTTAATTACATTGTATACGTAATTAACTATAGTTTATTTTGAAATATTTGTAGCTTAATCTATCTGAAACTGCCTGTTTTTATTACTGTTTTTATTACTGTTTTTATTACTGTTGTGGTTTGTTAGTGTCTGCCTGAACTACTTAACACTAAAACACTATTTTTTTTTTTAAGTTTTTAATCTTTGAATAATGAAAACTGAGTTTTCAACCTTTAGGAGTTAATGTTATGTTTTTGTTTTAGATAGAAATCCGATAACAGTGATCGAATTTTTACCTAAATGCTGATAATTCAGCAGTGCAACAAAAACCTGTGATTTCTAGCCTTTATCACCTCCTGTCAAGTGTGCTTCTGCAACTCCTGCTTCGTGCACAATAAAGAGCTTTTCAAATTAATATCTTTATTAGCACTTTGAATTTAAACTTTCTAGACAATATACTGAAGCTAAAAATAAAGACATTACTATAAGAAAGAGAATATTTTACCCCAGTAATATAATGTATGAAATTTCTCTAAAATGCAGATAAGTAGATGAAACATGCAAGAGAAAAGAATAACTCTTAAACATAAATTATATAAAATACTTATATATTATTAATAAATGGTAAAATAGTAATATACAGCGCCAACTCCACGATGTATCTTAAGTTACCCATGTCTGTTGAGGAGGGAATAGTACTGCACGAAACCAATGTCGAGAAGGAAGTTTCGCAATGCCTGACGATCTTTGTTAGGTGTGGAAACTGAGGATGGTGGGGAGTTGGGAGTCTTCACCATAGACGTCGGTCTGCTTCTGACTCTGGCCAGCAGAGAGTCACGGATGCGGCGGAGCTGCGTCGAGTGCTTCCTTGACACCGCCAGTTGTTGCAGATTGAGGTACTGCTGAAGGAGTTCAATTTCTTCTTCACCGCCTCCCTCACCAGCCCAGTATTGCTGGAGGTTGGAGCAGCCCATTGACCGGGTTCCTGTCTGCAACTGTCGTCTGTTGGGGGAATCAGCTTCTCTCATCACTTTGGGGGTGGAAAGTCTGGATGGTGGAGTCTCTGGGGGCGCCACATTAGCGTTCTTCTCCATCTTGGAGATTTTAGAGGAGGGTTGTAGCGTGTTGGCATGGGGTAAGAGACGCAAGCGTGCCTCCTTCACCTTCCGTCGTAGAGCCTCCAGGGGCATTACTGGGGTGCTGAGGCCACGTTGAAGACGATACCTGGGAGAGACAGATATCCACACATTATTTGTATCATGTGAGAAACTATAACGGAAATAAAAATATGAAGAATATAAGGATAATATCAATGAAGCCAAGGATTCTGTTAGCTTTATTGCAAACACTAATGCACTGTTGTCTTGGTTTTAGATTACTGCTAACCAGCACTCCCAAATCCTTTTCGCAATCAGTAATATTAAGACCTACATTATTTAGTTTATATTTGGCATGATTGTTTTCTTGTCCAATAATTAGAACTTTGCATTTGTCTATATTAAGCTGCATCTGCTACTTCTCTGACCACTGCATCAGTCTATTCAAATCTTCCTGGGATGCTCTAATGTCCTCATTAGAATGATTTAGGTGGCCTATTTTGGTGTCATCACCAAACTTGCTTATGTCGCTATTTATTCCCTTATCTATGTGGTTTATGTAAATTGAGAACAAGGGGCCCAACACTGGCCATTGTGGAACACCGCTTGTGACGTACCCCCATACTGATATATCCCCATTGATGCAAACTCTCTGCTGTCTATTTGTCAACCATTTGTCAACCAGGAAAAAATTTCTCCTCTTATTCCATGTGCCTTAATTTTCCTCAATAGCCTCTGATGTGGGACTTTATCAAAAGCCTTACTGAAGCCCGTATACACAATATCATATTCATCACCATGATCTACCTCCTCAAATACCTTGGTGAAAAAAAAGTTAGGCAGGAACGCCCTTTTGTAAAACCATGCTGAGATTCATTAATCAATTTATGCCTTTCAGGATGGCTACGAATTGCCTCGACAATTATTAATTCCATAAATTTTCCCACTATGGTAAGCTAAGGACCTGTCTGCTGCTTTGTAAATAGGCATTACATTTGTCATTTTCCACTTGTCTGGCATTATGCCAGTTAGTAGTGATATGTTGAAAAGACTAGCCAAAAGTTTGCAAAGCTCCTCTTTACATTCTCTTATAACCCTTGCAAACAGTTCATCAGGGCCTGGAGATTTGTTCGGTTATAATTTCTCTATTTGTCTGAGGACCATATCACTAGTTATCCTAATCGTGCATAGTTTATTATCGTCCTGTTGTACATAATTTATCATTTCTGGTATATCGCTAGTATTTTCCTGTGTAAAAACTGAGGAAATAAGAGTTAAAAATTTTACCCATTTCCTTGTCACTGACAGTGATCCATCCCGAGTTACTTTTGAGTGGGCCAATCTTGTCCCTAATCTTACTTCTATATACATGAAAGAACCTTTTGGGTTCATCTTCGAATCCCTTATCACTTAAGCCTCAACCTTTTTTTTTTGCTTTTCTTATTCTCTTTTTTATTTATTTCTTTAATTGAATATATTGATTTCAAAACTGCCCATCTTCTCTTTCGATACGCTTATATATGCCTCTCTTTTGACCAATGAGATGTTTTAATCTATTGTTTATCCGCTTGGGATCATTTTTGGTTGATCTAGTTTCCCTACTTGGAACATAAGTTGTCTGGGCAGCTAGAAATATGCCTTGAAATGCATCACATTGGCAACCAACACCACCTACCTGACCCATAGTCGGGTTGTTCCAATTTAGCCAACCCATGCAATTTCTCAGTCCCATGAAATTGGTCAAGCAGAAGTCTGGGACAGAGACTTGATTGCAGCTGTTTGGGTAATTCCAGGATATAGTGATACTAGGTGATTTCTGATCACTTTCTCCAAGCTCATTATTAACCTCAAGATTATTAATTAGTGATTCCTCGTGGCATGAACCAAGTCAATTAGACTGTTTCCTCTAGATGATTCTTTCACAAACTCTTTTAAAAAGCAATCCTGAAATGTATCAAGAAAGTCACTAGCCTCAAGATTTCCTATCATATTATTCCAATCAATTTGTCTAAAGTTAAAGTCTCCCATTAACATAACATTTTCATATCTAGATGTCTTATGAATTTTGTCCCATAACAGCTTACTACACTCCCTATCAAGGCTTGGGGGCCTATAATTCACACCCAAAATTGATTTGTCACGACCCAATGTTTATAATATTATATCTTGTCTAACACAAAAATCTAGATTATCTCTGACATGCATCACCACTCCAATACCCTTCCTATTGACCCTATCAGTGTGAAATAGTTTACAGCTTTTTAAGTGGCATTCAGTAGGCATTTCTCTATCTTTCAGGTTGAACCAGGTCTCCGTTATAGCAATAATATTACCTGCACCTGCAAGTAATTTTAAACCTTAAGGGAACTAGTTACTCTCTGCCCTCTACTGTCTCTCTGTTTGTTGATCAAATACTTTGCCTTTACTAGCAACTTTATTTTGAATATTGTTCATTAAACATATCCCTCAGGTATCCTGGTAATATCTGCTGTTTTCAACTCTTGCACTGCAGCCTGATTGTCTCCCACACACACTCATACCTCTGTAATGTCTGGAATGCCTAGGCATGCTAATGGCCTTCTTTGTAATTAATATTTTATAATATGTAAAGTACACATTGTAAGCTTTGCAAGGAAATAAACATTTTTCATTTTAATTTTCATAATCTATCAGTTTAAAGTCCTAGACAAGTCAGAAATGGCCCCCTCAACAGAGTTGGCTAATGCAACCACTCTGACCCCAACCCGTTTGTACATATCATGTTTGGTTCTTGAAGCTGTGTGCCTTCATGTTTGCCATAAAATTTGTCCCGATTATCAGTACCTGTCTAGCTAGTAATTTACACCAGTTGCCCTAGACAGCCAGTCATTGCCCACTCCCCTTCTAAGCATGATTGGGACCCCTCCCTTAGGTCTAATTACGTCTATGGCTGTCTTGTATTTATCCACCAGCTCTTGTCTCCTGCCCTTCTCGGTATCATTTCCACCAGCACTAAGCCAGATGATGGGCTTGTTCCCATTACCTAACATATATTATCCAACCTGTTGACTATGTCATCAACACCAGCTCCTGGGAATCACACTCTCTGTCTAACGCTCCTATCTCTGTTACAGAAAGCACTGTCCACATATCTTATCTGCGAGTCACTCACAACCAGAATGTTCTTACCTTGATTAGCAAGGGAGTTAGTGGTACCTTTAAGCTTGCTAACCACTGAAGTACACTCGTCTTGGAGAACAGAGAATGGATTTCCTACTTTTAGATCTTCTCTATTAAGCTTCCTTATCTTGACACTTCTACGTTTAGTAGAGACCACATTCCACTTGAAGCGGTTGCCACTCTTCAACTCACTGCTGGTAACCTTTTCCTCCACACCTACTCTACCCTTCGTCACCACTACTTGGAAAAGACCCGGGCCGGGAGAATACCGGCGAATAAGAAAAAAAAATCTATCTAGGCGAATTCTTAGCGTTCTATTTTCCTCTTGGAGAGATAGAGCCTCCTACTTCAACACTTATATATATATATATATATATATATATATATATATATATATATATATATATATATAGTAGAGACACAAGTGAAAGGAGAACATGAATTTATAGGAAGGTTGCGCCTCTCACCATGGAGCGTCAAGTCAGTGCATGGGAAGACAGGTCAAGGAAGTGGGTGAAAGATTAAAATTTGGGAAGGAGGTTCCTTTGTGCTATGTAATTCCTGATCTTGTGTTGGCGTTCTGCATTAGGTTGGGTGCTGGCACGTACTTATTGAGGGTGGATTTTGAAATGACGTCTGGTTTTCTATCCCTGTGAGATGTTGAAATTGAGGGTTGTAGCTATGAGGGCAGATTCTATGATGTTGCGTTCGTAGCTGCAGTGTGATTTGTGTTTGATGGTGGCAGCTTTCCAGTGACTACTTTGATTGTTGATGCTTAAATATTGAGAAACGGCTGAATTATCCCGTCCATAACTTATTACCCTCTGGTGTTCGATGATCCTCGTAGATGACACTCACCAATCTTCCCTGTGTATACTTGGTTGAAATCTTTGCATGGTATCTGGTAAACTCTTGGTGTGCCTTGTGTAACTTGAAAAAGATTTCCCGGTTTGTTAGGAGAGCCAACATAATTATATTAGCTACTTTTTTGAGACGATTGAATATACCTTGGTTTGGTACCATGAGTTGATATTTGCTGGATGGAGTTAAGTTTTTGTGAACAGAGGTTTCGTAATAGTTGACATTTGCTTTCTTTTCTCCTTGTTTTATAAACCAAGTCAGGGTAACCGAATTTGGAGCATTGGGTTCTGAGGATTTTTTTTTCGTAGTCCAACTTAGAGGGGCTGCATATCCTGAGTGCACGTAAAAACAGGCTTGAGATGGTACTCTTTTTTAATCTGCATTGAATGGTGGCTGTAGAAATGAACATAGTAGTGAGAATGAACTTCTAATGAACTCAGAACTCAAACTGATCGTTATTTCTTGATGAGAACATCAAGAAATGCAATTTGATTGTTTGTTTCTCATTAAACTTTGAACTGCAGAGGGAATAAAAATGGTTAAGATTCTCAAAGAATGCGTCAAAACTGCCCCAACTGTCGTCCCATTTAGTAAAGACATCAACGCATCTCTACCAGATCGTGTCTGGTGGTTTGATGCTGGGAAGAATGGTAATTTCACAGTAATCCATGTATAGATTATCGAGCTCAGAATAGAGTAGACTCACCATAATATGCTGCAACCAAATTTCTGTTTGACGAATTCGTTGTTAAAAGAGAAAACGTTTGTAGTGGCATATAATTTGGTGAGGGCTAAGATTTTCTGGATGGAAATTAAGAACTCCTTTTCGATGTGGAAGAAATTATAAGATGTTTCGCCAACCAGTGGCATTTCCGGTTCAACACGGAGATAATATTCAAAGACAGAAGAGGATGAGGTAATCACCTCCTCAGCCTTGCAGAATTATGCGCAAAAGACAGTGGAAAATAGAGTAATCTGTCTCTCAGCCTAGAAGCAGTGTTCAGCATCTAAATCTTGATAAATCTTGATAAATCTTGACCAGGCCTCCCGGTGGATTAGGGCCAGATCAACCAAGCTGTTACTGTTGGTCGGGCACTGACTTCAGGT